CAGGGCCGAAGCGTCGGAATCAGGGACGGACAGGTGGTTGGCGCATTATGAACGCGTCATGGCTACTTCTTTCGAGGCCGCAGGCATGTGCCACGCCGCACGCACATGGGAGCGATGGGTCAAGTGGGGGCGGAACCACGAGTGTCTGGGCGCCATTGTCTTTGCTGGGCCCACCGCGCTAGAAGTCGCCCTATGGCTGTCTGATGTGGCCGGGGGAGGGCCAACGGCGGTTAGGGGGGTCCTTGTTGCATTGCGTTGGCTCCAGGCGAATCTCGGGTTCAATGGCCTGCCTCTTGACTCGCCCCTGCTGCGGGGCACGACCGAGCAGCACCCGGAGAGGGTGTTGAGACAGGCCGTTGAGCTGCCATTCAAAGTTTGGGTCCAGTATGTCCATCTTGCGTCCAAGGGCAAGGGGGCGATCCAACTGATGGCGAGGCTCATCCTGTACGTGGCCACGATCTCGCTGCGGTTCAAGCATGCCCAACGCCACTCCTTCCAACATCAGTTGTGCAGCTCCCGCACGCTGGTGGGAAGAGTGTCGAAGGGTAAGGTGTTGCGGGGCGCGGCCTTTTATGTCGCAGGCCCGACATATGCAGCACCTGGTTGGCGGGCATTTGGTGAAATGTACGCAGTGCTGAACAAGCGGATCCCCGACGCCACTTATCTGATCCCAGATCTCGTCCTGCCTACGGGCTGTGCGGTGGATGAGCTAGCGGACTTCATTGAGCGGCCGATGGGCTATGCTAAGTTCACCGGCTGCCTAAGGTCCCTAGCGATGCGTCCACCCTTGCAGCTGGCTCGGAGCGAGGTGCGATCTATAACCACTTATTCCCTTCGCCGCAAGCTCGCGTCAATAGCCGATCGAATCCAGCTGCCCCTCGAACGTCGGGCAGAGCTGGGAGATTGGCGGGACCGCGTGGCTGATGGGCAGGGCAGGTGGAAGGCGACTAGGGAGCCAATGTGTGTTCGGTATTCTGCGGCTCGGCTTGAGACATCAGCGATGTCTCGCCGGGTGTGCCTGCATGCCCTTCACGAGGCGCATTGCGCTGGGGCGACAGACGACGAACAGTTGCGACACCAAGCCAACCACGATGAACTTTACCGGCAAGCTTTGGGCATCCACTGGGGGGAGGGCGCGCAGCGGGCCGTATTTGGCGACGCCGAGCACCCGCAGCCCCGCGAGGACTTGCATGTCGTGGAGGAGCCCGAGCAGGCTGGCGGAAGCGGGTCGTCGTCGAATTCCGATGATACGTCGGCGGGCTCATCGAGCTCTTGCGCGGAGCTCCTCGACCCCGTTGAAGTTCGATGGCTGCTGCCCGGGAACAAGAATTCGAAGCTCCACCTGGCGCGCGACGACGGCTTCGACGAGTCGGCCTGCGTGCCTGCGTGCCGGCAGTCGCCCTTCAAATGGGGTTGTGAGGTTGGAGTAGGGCTGGCCATGGCCGGGCGTACTGGCCGCTCCTGGTCACCCCGATGCTTGCGCCGTTTGCGCCGGCTTGTCGGGCCAGCTGCTGTGCAGCAGCATTGCTGCAGCGAGTGACCGCGAGACCCGCCATCTCAAGCTGTTCAGTGTCGCTCATCGCATCAATCATCGTACATCCTCGTATTATAGCACCGTACTGTATTTCAAACTTGTGTTATATATTATGTTTTACATATATATATATATATATATATATAACGAAACTCGGAGCAGGAGGAGGAGGAGGAGGAGGAGACGGCTGATGCAGGAGGTTGGGCGGCTCCTCGGGGGCCTTGTTGTGAAACACAGAACCCTGCCCAACTCTCTGTTCAGCTCTCCTCAACCGCAAGGGCCTGCGTGGATCTGGAAGTTTGTGCTCTGGCTGGTCCGGCGGGCCACGCGCCCCGAGTGAGACGCAGATAGCCCGTTCGCACAAGCATGCCCGTGAGATGCCTGCCGGCGCGAAGAGACGGACCCGCAATGCCGCAGATATGGATGGAAACCCGCCCGCTCAGCAGAAGGATGTGGCCAACAGTGGACTGAGAATTGTGCTCGGCGATGAAGTGCGGGGGGGCACGATTTGTCCGCCCAGCGTGCCTCATCACAGAACGGTCCATGTGCGAGGGTCTCCAGGCATCCTTCCCATGCGCGTGTGCACATACATGTATACATAAGTATATACATAGACTTGCATGAACACCCACGCACGCCCTCTGCATCATCACAACCATCATGGCCATGGCTTCTCAAGTTGAGGAATTGGTGATGTCGCCTGCGGGCTGACGTCGCCGACTTCAATGATAGGGTACAGGTGTGGCTATCGTGGCAGACAGTCTGCCATAAGCCACGGCCGATGAGGAGGTTGAGTGGGGATACTCTCGAAACTGGCCTGTCGCGGTTTCCGCCGGGTCGCGTCTCGGTCGCCGGGGCATCGGCTCTGATTATCGGGAGGGAGAGCCGGCCGTCTCGCGCTGGCATTCGTCCTCGCTGTCGGGCGAGGGCGTTTGGCGGCTAACGCGCGCGACGGTCTAGACTGTCGGGCGAGAGTGCCGGGCGGCTCGCGTCGACATTTGTCTGGACAGTCGGGCGGGGGTTGTCGAGCGATATTGCTCGACAACGCACGTCGGCATTGGTCTGGATGGTCGCGCGGGAGTGCCTGGCGGCTCGCGGCCGAAACGGTCTAGGATTGTCGACGCATTTGGGGCCCGCTGAAGGCCTGGTACAGGCGTCTGATTTTGCCCAACGGGCCTCGACAGGCCCAGAGGACATCCGAAAATCGGTGTCCGATTTAGCGTCCAAGCGGACCTGACGGTCCTGCCAGACACCCGGCAACGTCAGGTGTAGTGTCCAAGCGTGCGCCCCGAGGAGCCCTTACCGGGAACTTTGCACACGCACGTGTTTATTCGGTTCCCGCACTGTCCGTTTCATGCGAAGCCAGCCCCAGGACATAGCGGTTGGGCCGACACGCCCAAGTCATCTGATATCGGATGTGCCGGCACGTCGACACTGACATTCCGGTCCTGTCGAAGAAAATGCGCGATACCATATGTTGTCGCTCCAATTTCCTGGGGGGGCCATGTCGTTCCTCGTGGTTGGCACGACCGACCCCTGCCCCGAGGTGTAAGTGTGATGATCAGCTGGCTGCGCAACGAACGTTGGTTTGTGGTGCACCTTCCGTAGTCACCGGCTCGCAGTTGAGTTGCTTCTGCACTGCCTTACTTCGAGTTCTAACCGCGCAGCGCACGTCCGCTCAAGTCAGTAGGCCCACCATGGCGCTGAACAACACGCAGCCTCTGCCAACGTCCATCTCCGATCCGAGAGCTCCTCGCCACGAGTTGGTGCAGCTACTATGGAAGGCAGGGGTGTCCGAGGACGTCATCCTCAGGTACACCGGGGCTCGCAGCGAGGGCGGCCTCGGCTGCACGGCTGTGTCCGACTTCGCAGGCTTGTACACGGAGACTACGTACGAGGACAAGGTTGAGGCCGAGGTGATCAAAATCGAGGCCCACAAGGACGATCACCTTGAAGTGGCACGAGTGCGGGTGTCGTGGACTCTTGCTCGTTCGGAGCTGCAGCGAGCGCTGCGCCAGCGCACTGAGGGAGCTGGCCCTGACGGGCGCGAGGACTGGGACACGCCCCTGACGACGCCGGAGGAGGAGCAGCGTGCCAATGACTTCGGCAAGGCCTACGACAACCTCGTCTTCGAGAGCGAGTCCCAGCCGCTCAAGACTCTGATTGGGCGCCAATGGCGCGAGTTCGTCTCCTCGACGCGGGCGGTCACTACACTTCGCCTGGAGAGAATGCGTACGGAAGCAGATCTTCAGGGAGTCCGCCAGAAGGCGCCAAAGAAGACGCCTATCGGCGGAGGGTACCACATAACGAAGGACGAGGAGAAAGAGGCCCGGCTCCCTGAGATCAAGATCCAGTCCGTTCTGCAGTTCCTCAAGTGCCTGAAGGTTCTGACCCACCTCTGGGCGCTGTGTGGGGCGGCGCTGGTGGATTCAAAGGAGGACGTCGACAAGGCCACGCATCAGCCCAAGAAGGTGCGGCAGTGCCACTTGGAGGTGTGCGTGCGCTACTACGACTTTGTCCTCCTGAAGCTCCTTGACCACCCGGGTACACTTCACGAGAAGGTCCTTTGGGCGTACGACCGTGACCGGACAACCCGGAACAAAGCCCGGACGTTGTACCAGCAAGGGTGGCCATGGGGAGAAGCTCTCGTGGCGTCCTTCACCAACCACTGCGCGCTGGAGTGGAAGGTGACAGGGGTTGGGATTTCCAGCGGGGCCCCTAACCTCATCAAGCCAGAGGACGACAGCGACGACGACATGGGAGCACCTCCCAAACGACTCGCTGCACCAAAGAAGGGGGCACAGGCCCTCAAGCACAAGAAAACCACAAGCCAGAAGGTCCAGAAGGCAACCAAACGCACCGCCAAGGCGTGTGCGAACTACAACTCGGCGCGCGGGTGCGCGAAGAACCCCAAGCAGTGCCCGCGCAAGAAGCTCCACGTCTGCTCGAACTGCGGCTTGTTCGGCCACCCGGCTTTCAAGTGCAGGAACCCCGCCCCTGGGACATCACGTTGACAAACCCGCCTCCTGGGTTGTCATGATCAGCGGCCCGGGGGGCTCGCCGGTGACAGTGCGAGCGCACATGATGGGAGTTCCACTCCTGTGGAGGCCGCGGCGGGCGCCCCTGCCTCGCCGCCGCCGTGTTCTGCGCTGCCAGCCCAGGCATGCCCCGCCGAGGTGGCGGCGCCCGGACCCGGGCGCCAAAGCGACGCAGCCCCTCCGTGGAAGCGAGCTCGCCCAGCCCAGCCGCGCGCTGCGCCACCAGCGGGTGCTGGGCGCCAGTCGCGCAGCGCTGCGCTCGCAGGTGGCCCAGACCCTCCGTGGGCGCGGTCACGCCCGCCCGGGCCGAGAGCCGCACCTCCGAGCGCCGTCGGGCGCCCTACGGGGGTGGCTCCAGCGGGCGCCCGCAAAGATGCTGATGAGAGCGGGCCGGCCGAGCCTTCTGTGTTTGCGGTGACCGTTTTCGACGGCATGGGCGGTGGTTTGGTGGCGGTGCAGACCCGAACGTCCAATCTGCAGTCGCACACCGTTCAGAACCACTCTCATCTCCGTCGATTCGTCCTCGACCACTTTCAGGACTGTGCTGCGTCGGAGCGGCTGGAAGGCCTTGACGTCGACAGCCTGCTCCGCAGGGTGGCCGCAGCAGACTGCGACATAGTGTTTCTGATATGTAGTTCCTCTGGCTGTGCCTGCACGGGGTCGTCGTCCGATCTGAAGTCCGTGGGGGGCGACACGGTCCGGTTCTTGACGGACTTCGTGCAGCTACGAGACCGCATGTCGTCAGCAGCGCGGCAGGATCAGTCCGGGCAGTTCGCTTGGCTGTACGAGGATTCGGCTGGCGTGGGCGAGTCGTACAGGACGCAGCTTTCGAATATCCTTGGTTGCGAGCCCGTGCTGTTGAACGCAGCGGACAGGGGCTGGGCCCAGAGAGCTCGACTATACTGGGGGCTGTCGCTCCCGAGTCTTGCCTCACACGGACATGTCCAGGTCAAGGGTAATCTTAACAGTAAAATCAAACACTTCACGGTGAAAACGCTCCCGGGATGGACCCAGTATGGACAGGCCCACGGAGGCCCTGGAGGTGCGACAGCGTGTCCTCATAAGCACCGGGCATTTTGACTGTGTGGCGGTACCCTTGTTTCCCAGCGCACGCGACGATGCAAACAGGGTGCGGTTTATTTTCTCCGCGGGGGATGCCAGCCCATCCTCGGCCCTAGGCCGGCGACCGCTTAGATTGCCACTGCGCGCTCCCGGGGTGCCGCAATCGTCCCTCGTGCTGTGTTGCGTGCTTCCGGGGAGGTTGTGATTTTAAAACACGTAGATTTGGTTAGTTCACAGTTAAAAACAACTCTCGTCCAGGTCGTGCCGGCCGGGGTCGCGGCCAAGGGGCTCACCGTGCTGAGGTATACTGGGCCTCCGATCCCGAGAAATTGGGAGGCATGGGATGGTGCCACATGGGCCTTCAGGAACGAGGTCGGGCGTCGATCTACGACGCCGCCGGGAACTGGGTACGCACCCACATATGCCGACGGCCGCTTCTTGCCCTTCACTGCTATGCGTCCGCACGCCGCGGACCGGCCGCCCCAGGTGCACGTGGAGGACAAACATGTGTACCAGAGGTTCTTGGCGAACGGTCGCATGCAGCCTCTGCACGCGCACGTGCGCGGCAACATGATGCAGTACTCCGATGGGCAGCTCAGGCCTTTGATGGCAGCCGAGCGGGAGGTTCTCATGGGCTATCCCCACGAATACTCTCGTCAAATGCTGCCTGCCGATGGTTCTGGGCTTGACGTCGAGATGACCAGGCGGAGTGCCGTTGGCACCGCGTCCCACGTTCCCAGCATCGCCATGCTGCTTGGCCTCCTGCTGTTCCCCGCCGGGTGCCCTGCCCAGCGTATGCGCCCATCCTGTCCTTCCCGGGCCTATTGTCTCCAGTGGCAGGAGCGTCACAGAGCGGGGGCAGTGTGGGACTCGGAATGGGCTCCGCCCGAGGGCCAAGTTCAGTCAGGAGAACGAATTCTTGAACGTGCATTGCTGCTGTTCCCTTCGGCCTACTTTCGCGCGGTCTCCGAGGAGGTCAGAGAGGCGATGGCCAATGTCGACTGCATCCGGTACGATCTGTTCGCGGACTATCCGGACTACGCCTTGCGCCAGGGCGCCCCGCCAGGCGCATTAGGCCCTGACTTGCAAGCCCTGTGGGCGAAGTCGCCGATGCATGCTTCTGTCGAGCACCAGCATCGCCCAACGATGGCATCAGCTGCGGCACCGAATCTGCTTGATTGGGGCATCGGCCCAGAGGAGCACGAGGCACGCGCGGTGCTATTAGATCATCCTTTCAGCCGCGACCCTCCCGTGGAGTCAGATCTCCAGTTTGTCGTCGATGCGTACGTTGCCAATGGGCCGCGCGTCAGCCGGGTGCGGCGACGGCGTCTGGAGGTGCTCCAGCGCACGGCGGCGGCGCTGCACAAGTTGGACGAGTTCTCTTTGCGGCTACGGCACACGTATCTAGATTCGGCGCCAGGCGTTCGCCCCGTCTACTGCGCTTTCCTCGTTGTCCTGACCGGCTGGCCGGATGTGGGGCTTCCGGCTGGCTTGGCGCAAGGGTTCGAGCTTGCGGGGGAGGTGCCGGCTTCGACGGTTCTGAGGCCCATTCAGCCGAAGCCTGTCGGCAAGGGCCCCCTAGCTGGAGAGGAGGAGCAGTTGCTCGGAGAATCCGCTTGGCATTGCGTGAACTCGGTGGAGGCGCAGACCATCCCGTCCAAGCAGGCGCCCACGATATACGATCTCACACAGGATGAGATCAAAGTTGGGATTGCTGATCCGCTGCTGGACCGGGCGGCGATGGACAGACGATTCGGAGTTGGTGGCTGGAGGCCGCTGATTCGACATTGCCTTTGGCAGTCGGGCAAATGGCGGCCGATCGACGACGGCAAGCGATCTCGGACGAACGCGCTGTCCAGCATTGCC